GCTTAGAAAGGAAGTTTGGGTCGGTTCTTGCAAGATCTTTGAGTTCCTGACAAACGAGAAGTCGATTCTGCTTCTGGTCCTCAGACAGGATGTGTCGCATGTGGAGTTCTTCCTTTAGAATCAGCTGACAGGTCCCATAGCCTATCCCAGCAATGTCGCACAAGTCGTTGATGGTACGACGTCGATCTTCGTGAATGGCCTGCCGTATCTTCGTAACATTTTCGGGCGTTGTGCTCGAAGATGGTCGTCCAGAACGCTCGTCATCATCGACAGAGGTTCGGCCATTTTTAAAACGTGAATGCCACACAAAAGTTTGTGCACGACCCATTGCGGACTCCCCAAATGCTTGCTTTAGCATTTCATAGGTTTCCGTAGCCGTTTTGGCGAGTCTTTGGCAAAATTTGATGCACACTCTTTGTTCATGAAAATCCGCAATCGCAGGAGGGTCGGTGTAATGCACTACCAAAACGCCCGTAACTAAGAAACAAATGCTAATTCGATGATGCCGGCTGGCACACTGAGTCACTATGAATGTAGACCGCACCCCCTAGCGGCAGAAGCTCGTACTACATCCGGTTCGCCCTCTATTGACACAGTCTTGAAACTTTCAGATCGCACCTCGTATTTGTGATCACGATGTGGTCTTTGTGTCCTGCCCTTTCATGTTCGTATACTTTGTGCAAAAAGAGAAACAGGGGAATTTACTTTTGCAAACCTGTTCTTTCCTAACACGTAGAAAAAATCCGTCGCTGTTTAAACTATGCCAAGGACTGTTACTTAACGCAGCCAGAAACTTGTACTGTCACTTTCTGCGGGCAACAGGTGTGCTGCACAAACGCACACTCGAATAGTGACCTATATGTCCTCATGTTTCTTCAGATTTTGAGGTATTATAACATCACTTTATTATGGGCCTTATAGGCCTAATATTACATAGGCCGATATAATTATTAACATTATACATTATGCAACTTCTTAGTCTGGGACAACGTTATTAGATAAGCTAAGAACCAGTATTGTATGAACATAGAATTACTAGAATTTCTGAAATCAAGGTACGATTAAATGTGAGGATTGAATCAGTCACTGAACATACTTTTTTATCAGTAATTATTTGTAGCACCGAGCACATTCTGACGTTGCTAAATGCCCACGATTCAATTTACAACAATTGGGACGACAGTATGGTCGGAAAACCTGGACGAAAGAGATTGCTTGGGAGTAGATGGGATGATATTAAACTGGATCGTAAGTAAATAGGATGTAATGGTGGAGATTTGATTTAGAGACTGAGGACAAGATACAGTATAATGTAGTAATGTGCCATTCCAACCTTCACAAACTGTAATTTCTGACCTAGTTACATTTCAGCATAAGCTTTCTCATGACACTAATTTTTTAGAGCTTGATTCGCTTTATTTATCGCTGTGTTTGGAAGAAATGACAGCATATTTTTATGTTTAATCACGGATACGAAGAGAAATACTGGCTAAAAGACCTTCAAGACAAGTTTTACAATTTCTCGCCATTGTCAATGCACTTTTAACTCCATCTTACCGTATAAAACAAAAACACGGAAACGTTTTATTTGAGATTTATACTTAACATTTAAGTGTTACTATTATAATGTCGCGTTGAACATTGCATACACCATCTTCAGGTTGAATATCATATACAATTTTATTCATTATTTACTGAAAAGACTCTGCATTATTAAGTCGCATCCTCCCATCGCCCTTCGTGTCCATTTTAAAACACAATTGGTAGAGAAATGGCTGTCTTCTGGGATGTTGCGTCGTGTGGTTTTGTAGAATTTTTACCAACGTTTTAAAGGTGTTTGTTGGCTCCATTGTAAACGTGGCGCAGCAACCCAGAAGAGGCGGCGTCCCAGAAGACAGTATTTTTCATATTTGAATATAAAAATCTGGATTCTCATATAATTGGTGTACTTCAACAAACTTCTTTTATTTCTTTCTCTCATCCTCTTTTACCCGTAGGTGTCGAGGTTTTTATTTATTCGACTGATCTATTTGAACAATGGTAGGACTCCTTGGATGAGTGATCAGCCCGACGCAAGGCCTCTACCTATACAAACACAGAAAGACGCGGACAAACATCCATGCCTTGAGTGTGACTCGAACCCACGGTCCCAGCGGCCAGTCGCACGAGGTCCGTGGCTCAGACCGCGTGGCCACTGCCGCCGGCACAAAGAATATTAGGATGGTAAAGTCAAGGAGGATGAGCTGGGTGGTATAAGTAAACTAGTCTAAATATGTGTTAGGAAGAGAACGCTTTGGAGAAAATCTTCAAGCAAAAGGGCGAGTGTGTGGACTGGAATCATCTGACTCAACGTATTGCCCAGTGGCGGATTATTGTAAAAATAAAAACAAACATTTAGGTTTCACAAAAAGCAGGGCATTTCTCAACCAACTGAGTGACTATGCGCTTCCCACGATTGACTGCATCATGCAGTTAGCTAAATATAGTCTTACCCCGTATCCTTTTAGCAACAATTGTCAATGCCTTTTGCCCGTGTCACACAAATGCAAATGACTGCAATTATACGCAACTGTATATTTGTGTACTCTATACCAGGTCTGGAAATTATATTTAAATTTAAGTGTTTTCGAGAAGTTAGTTAGTCAAAGAAAATTAGTAAAAAACACTTTTATTATGAAAGAGTCTATTAGCCCTGTAAGACATAAGAATGTTTAGATTTGTAACTGTTCTACCAAAATTCTTGGAATTTTACCTGCCAATGCGTGCATGTGGTGTGTCGTCATTTATACACATAAACCCAAGAAAATATCCGACCCCCTTACCAAGGCTCTGTAGATGTTTTCATACTTCATTGAATTTTATTTCTTGGCACAGAAGTTTGTGAACAATATTTTTACAACTGCTTATTCCACAGACTAATCTGTGTAACTGGCGGAAACCAAGTGGCATAATGCTTAATCAGAATATTTAAAAACTGCCCGATTGTTGGCGGATGGCAGCTAGTGGGGACGGCGCTTTATCGGGAAATTCTCTGTGATATAGCAGGCTTTCGTGAGCGCAATGCGAAGATAAAGTTACGAGTTTAAAACGCGGTACAGTATTGGGACTTAACTGTATATATGTTACCGTAAAAGCCAGAATGTTGTTGAAACATAGGTTTTACGAGACAAATCTAGGTTTTACGATACACTGTTGGTAAAAACCCGAAATCGAACTGTTCGCGTCTTATTTCGGGGTTTTACCATTCGCTGTTGATAAACCCCCATATTCCACGAGAATACGGTATAAGTAAAGAGAAGGGTATAAATGTAGTAACTCACTTTTGTTATAGATGTTTTTTTTTCTATTTTCGGTTCCATAAATTACAACTTTAGAAACATACATTCCTTGTCTAAGTTGTATTTTAGAATAAACTTTAACAGAAGTCAAAATAATAGATAAAAACATTGCAAGAAATATAAAAATTGTGAAATAAAAAAACCTGAGGCATCTAACCTAACCTAACCTAACTTAACCTTTTACTACCCGCTTATGGTAAAATCTAACATTTACCAACACCCATTGGTATGACCCCGAAATAAGAAGCGAATTTTCTTTTTCGGGCTTCTACCAACACTGTATAATAAAACCTAGTTTTGTCTGGTAAATCCTAGATTTCGCCAACATTCGGGCTTTTACGGTAGCATATACATCAACAACATCGGAAAGATGAAAATATGTTGTTTTGCACATGCTTCCGGTGGGCTTACTATATTTAGTTTTATGTTAAAAATAAAAAGGCTTCGTTGAACATTAAAACATGAATATTTCTTCTCAAATTGACCTTCGCTTTCGTGCTTGACTTGATTATTTGACAACTCAATTGAAGCGATTTTAAAGCCAGTGACAAAATTGTTTTTAGTCACTGCCACACCTTTACACGTACTTAACAAAAGACACTGTTATAAGTCTCATATAAAAGACAGTCTGTTTCTAGACTCACGCCATTCTACAGATGCAGGTGGTGCGGCGACTGTAGTTGACGCCAACAAAGCAACCAATACAAACTGGAACATGTCGTGCTGAGGCTTCAAAACAACTGAGAATCGCGTCTCTCTTCAACTATTATATACACACGTAAGACTGGCCGCTTGGGTTGTTTCATACTTCCCCTGAAGCAC